GTTTGAACCACCATCCTTCTGGTTAGCAGTCAAGTGCCTTAGCCACTATGCTACCAGAGCTCCTATATATATATATATATATATATATAGACATCATCCCTGCCTGGGATGGGCTCACAGACTGTTTAGAGTAATACCATTTACAGAATTTTCAGACGCTGGAAAACCAATGGGAACTCTGGTGGCATAGTGTCTCAGGCATTTGACTGCTAACCAGAAGGCTGGTGGTTCAAACCCACCAGCCACTCAGAAGGAAGATTAGACAGTCTACTTCCATAGTAATACTGCCTCAGCAACCCAAAGAGGGGTCGCCATGAGTCAGATCTGCCTCAATGACAGTGAGTTTGGTTTTTTTGGGGTGGAAAACCAATAGAGCAAATATTTTTAGATAAAATATCATTTCAGTCTCTCTAAAATCATTTGCCTATTCTGACAATTTATGATTGGCTTGTTTTCACCACATCAGCTTCTCCACATGCATATTTCTAATAAACTGTGTGGTAGTTAAGGTTGTATGTCAACCTGGCTGGGCTGTGATTTTGAGTGGCATAGCAGTTGGATGTAGTTATTCCCCTTGATGAGTTTAGATGAGGTGTAATCAGTTCCATGGTGGAATCTGCTGTGACATGTTATTCAGTGGAAGAGGAGTGCCTTCATGGTGTGGCCTACTTCCGGCATATATAGAGAAGCTTTGGGAATGGTTTTGAGCTTTCTGGCACATTTCAGATCCTGCATTCGGCTTGAGTCTTCATCTCTTGTTCCTGACTTGAACAAGTGACAAGCCAGGTCACCTATAAATCTTGGTATTGTGCCATTTTGCCTGCCAACCATGAGTTCTCAGCTTTAGCAGCCAGCAGCTGTCTAAGTTAGGAGATTCCTCCAGCTCCAGTGGGCCTGGAACAAGAGGCAGAGTTGAACCCCAAGATCAAGGGGCCTCGGCCCAACCCCTAGAGCCAACACTCTGAATTTAGACTTCTAGCCTCCTAAACTGTCAGAGAATAAATTCCTGTTTGTTAAAGCTGTCCACTTGTTATAGCAGCACCAGAGGAACTAGAAGATAACCAGGAAAAATTCATATATATGGTGATTCCAATTTTTTTTTTTTTTTTAACACTGTGAAGCTATGTTTCAGTAATTCTTTTAGGACTCAATATGTAGTTCATAATTGAAAATCCTTTCCTTCCCTGATTCTGCACCTGTACTCAGAAATTAATTGTGATGGGAACAAACACAACCTTGCTGACTGATACTACTTTACATTCATAACAACTAACCCCTCTAGAGCTTCCCAGCATTTCTATTATATTCATTAGCCAAGTTAGTCTCCCACTATACTAGATGATTATTTCCTTTTCTCTCTGATTTCCAACATCTTCACTTCACTCTCTATTGATTTCTGCTTCTTATTTCACTGAGAAAGTAGAAGCAACGAGAAGAGAACTTCTGCCTGCACAACCTCCCTGATCAACTAACATTGACTTCTATGCCCATATACATGGTCTTCCCTTCAGCTGCTATAGATGAACTACTGTTACCCTCAGATCAAATTTCCACTTGTGTACTTGATCTTACTCCTTTGGCCTACTCAACATTGCTCAAACAATTTTCCTCTCTTTTGCACCATCACCGTTTCTATCTTTATAATATCTTTCCCATCAGCAGTCATAGATGCTATGACATCAGCCCTCTTGAAAATTCTAGCATTTTGTTGATTTCTACTCTTTTTCTTGGTAAAAACTCCTCAAAAAAGTTGTCTGTATTTTCTGTTTTTACTTCCACTCTTCTCATCCTCTCTTCATTTTAGTCTAGTCAAACTTTTGCCCTCACTACTCCACTGAAGGGAGCTCTGGTAGCATAGTGCCTAAGGCATTTGACTACTAACCAGAAGGCTGGAGGTTCAAACCCACCAGCCACTCCTTGGAAGGAAGGTTGTGCAATCTACTTCTGTAAAGTTTTACTGCCTCGGAAACCCAAAGGGGGTCACTATGGGTCAGTATCAACTTGATGGCAGTGAGGTTTTTTTTTTTTGGTAATGACTACCCCTGGGTAGCACAAACTGTTAACATGCTTTAATCCTAACCAAAAAGTTGAAGATTCAAGTCCACCCAGAGACACCTCACAAGAAAGACTTGGCCATCTACTTCAGAAAAATTAGGCACTGAAAACCCCATGGAGCACAGTTCTACTCTGACACACAGGGGATTGCCAGGAGTTGTAATTGACTTGACAGCAACTGGTTTTTAGTGACTTCCTGTTATGGATTGAATTATGTCCCCCCAAAATATGTGTTGTATACCTAATCTGTATGCCTGTGGTTATAATCCCACTTGGGAATAAATTGTCTTTGTAATGTTAATGAGGCAGGATTAATGTAGGGTGTATTATCTCTTTTGAGATAGAAAGGAGATTAAAGCAAGCAAGGGAAAGAAGCAGAGATGGGGAAAGAAAG